GGGGTCGGTGGCGGGGGTGGTGCCCTCTGAGAACTCCTGGTCAACTTACTGCACTCAGCCTGAATCTAAGCAAAAGACGGTCTCTTCAGTAATAGGCCTGGCCCTGGTATTTTTTTTAATAAAAAAAAAATTTGAAAGAAGTTCCTGAAGACAGCATTGGACAGGATTTTATTCAAACTCACCAAGGTTAAATTGCCTCTGGATTCCTAGACACAGCTGGGGTGTGGGGAGCAGGCTACGGCTCCTTTTTTTTTTTTTTTTTTTTTCTTAATAAAGACTTTTCTGCTCACATTTTGTCATTTTGTTTTAACATCATGGAGGTTTGTTTATTTATTTTGGTCCCCGGGATTGAACCCAGGGGACCTTAACCACTGAGCCACATCCATCCCTTTGTATTTTATTTAGAGACAGGGTCTCACTGAATTGCTTAAGCCCTTGCTAAATTGCCCTGGGCTGGCTTTGAACTCCCAATTCTCCTGCTTCAGCCTCCTGAGCTGCTGGAATTACAGGCATGTGCCACAGGGGCTGACTCGTCACTGGCTTTTTTGTTTGTTTGTTTGTGTTTTAGTTGTAGATGGACAAAATGCCTTTATTTTATTATTTTTATGTGGTGCTGAGGATCGAATCCAGTGCCTCACATATGGTAGGAAACGCTCTGCCACTGAGCCACAACCCCAGCCCCACAACTTGTGGCTTTCTTAAAAAAGTAAATGAGGGTTGAGATTGTGGCTCAGCTGTAGAGCACTCGCCTTGCGGCGCTGGGTTCAATCATCAGCACCACATAAAAATAAACAAAGGCATGTGTCCAACAATTTTAAAAATATTTTTAAAAAAGTAAATTGACTTTTGGGTTCTGTCTGCTTCGATTAATACTTTTGTTTGATTGGCATTCCTAAGATATTTCTGCGGATGGTTTTAAGTTACTTCTTGAACTGAAATTACAGGTTTACATGAATGCATTGGATTATTTTTTCCCTTCTGCCATGACAAGATAATTTTGTTATTCAAGTTTTCTTGGAAATTTGTACTTTTAGTTAACTCTAGGCAGAATGCAAACATGTAAGTTTACTCGGATTCATTTGAGATGGGACCCAAAGGAGCAAAAATGTAAATTAGGCTTTTTAAAATGCAAGCAGCTGTGACCCGACTCTGTGCTTGCCTGTAATTCCAGGGACTTAAGAAGCTGAGGCAGAAGGATAGCAGATTTGAGGCCAACTTGGGAAACAGGGTGGGCTGGAGAGCTGAGGGACTCTCATTCCCCAGAACGGCTCCAGGTGGGAGGAAGAGCAAGATAGTGGGAGGGCTACGGCCATCTTGCACTGCACTTGTACACCTGACTGGTCTTGGGGCCTGAGTTCCCAGACACTCTGGGAAGAAGGAGATGATTGCAGCTCATGGGCTCCTGGGCTAATGCTGGGGTGGGGCTGGGCTCACACCTGTCCTCCAAACTTGGGCAGGGCCTAAGAGCTCTTGGGGGCAGGCCTGAGAACAGGGGTCCAGGCCTGCATGATCTGGGGTCCTTGACCCAGCTCCCAGGGCCTCCCCTCCCCCTGCTCTTGTCCTGGAATCACAATACCCACCTTTCACTAGATGCTAGCTAAAGTACTGAGTGCCTGGCCTGACACCTCCTGTAGGACATACCCCCTGCCCCCAAGAGCTCTTATGACCCCGAACTGTGCAGCAGAGGAACTGAGACTGCAGGGTGAGGACCTGCTGAGTCCCACAGAAATGTGCAAAAAATTCACCTTCTGCTCTGTGCTGCAGCTGACTGTGTCTCTGTGGGCTAGATGGGCAGTGGAGCTGTAGAGCCCAGAACCTGCCACAGGCATCTTGGACAAGCACACCCACTCAGCCCTGTTGGCCATTGACCTTCCATCCCCAGGCTCTGTGGGCCTTATGTGGGCCAGGACACCAGGGGTGAGAGAGGTAAACTCATTAATCAAGGACAATGGATCCCAACAGGAAAAATGGAAGTACCTGCCCTCTGACTACCCACAGCCCGTTCCTTGACATCTGCCCACTTGCCACCAGGGGGCGGCAGTGGGCCTATCTCTTGGGATCAGGGGCCTCCCAGATGTGCTGCTGGGCAGGGATCTCTGGCCAGCCTTGGCACTGGGGCTGCCCTCCACCTCACCTCCAGGTAACCAACTTCCAAGGGCCTCAGTGCCCGGAGAAACGATGACCCACTGAGCACCCAAATGCTGCAGTGCAGTGGAAATCATGCATGGTGACAACCCTGGTGTGACGGCTTCTCCACTTGTTCATTTTCATCTCTAACTGATCTCCCAAATTCTGAGGGAGGAAATGTGGATTTTAGTTGCTTGAGTATTTTAAATACTTTTTTGCTTATGTGTTCCCAAGACACAGAGGGACATGCCTCCTACATCTTTTAGTGGAATGCAACTTTTTAAAAAAAATTTTTTTTTTAGATGTTGATGGACCTTTATTTTATTCATTTATTTATATGTAATGTTGAGAATCGAGCCCAATGTCTCAAAAATGCTAGGTGAGTGCTCTACCACTCAGCCCCAGCCCCAGCCCCAGAATGCAACTTTTGTCTATGGAAAAGATCCTCAGTTTTCAAACCAAAGACCTCTATCCTTGGACATGTTTTATCTGACGTTAAAATTTCCTCATCTGCTTTCATCTTTTGTGCAGTTCTTTCGACAATGTATATTAAAGCTGAAACAGAAAGAAAGAATTTAGAAAGAAATGGCAGGCTGGGGATGTAGCTCACTGGTAGAACACCTGCCTAGCATGCACAAGTCCCTGGGTGTGATCACTGGTACCACCAACAAAAATTAAATAGAAAGAAATGACAAAAAAAAACCCAAACTTTCTCTACCTACTTCTGTTTGCACTCACAGAAATGTACTTGCTGGCATTTTGTAAGAAAGTCCAGTGTTGCTGAGTGTGATGGCCCACACTTGTGATGCCAGAGACTTGTGGGGTTGAGGTAGGAGGAGTGCAAGTTCAAGGCCAGCCTCAGCAATTTAGCAAGACCCTGCTGCAAAATAAAAATAAAAAAGGACTGTGAGCGTAGCTTAGTGCCTCTGGGTTCAATCTCCAGGATCATTAAGGAAAAAAAAAAGAAGAAGAAGAAGAACAAGAACAAGAAAAAGAAAAAGATACTCACATAGTCTCATCAACCCAATGATGGACTTTGTGATTTCAAAAGAAACTGAAGTTTCACATGATTCAGAAACCTTAGACGGATAAAGACACAATCATCCCACTTGAGGAGTTTCTGTACTGTGCAGGGCAGTTTCCAGTGGATGAGTAAATCTCCTTTGAAGACATCACCACAGTCCTTGTCATATTCATCATCCTCTGCCTCAGTGAGCTGCTTGCTCCCAGAGATGCTCTGTGAGCTGCAGCCATGGTGATTGACCCTCTCTGTGCTCATAGCTCCTCTGCTGAGTGTGATGCTGAGGAGGAGACTCTCCCTGGCCCTGGTGACCTATTTCCTGAGAGAGGCAAGAGGCTTCCAAGTCCTCCCCTCTGAGGGTGCCCATTACTTGCTTCAGCCCATGTGGAGTCAGGATGTTCCAAGTGCAGCTAATGCGCTGCATCTTCAGACTGGCTCAGTCAGGACATTCTCCTGCTGCAGAGACCATCTTTACCTTCTCATTTATTTATTTACCCATTTACATGTGGCACTGGTAGCTGAACCCAGATTCTTGCACAAGGTAGGCAAGTGTTCTATCCCTGAGTTAAATTCCCACACCCCCGGGGGATGGGGGGGTCAGTCTCTGTCTCTCTCTCTCTTTTTCCCTTTTTATTTATTAAGACAGGGCTCCCAAAGACTTGGGATGCTCCTACCTCATCCTCCTGAGCTGCTGGGATTACAAGCATTTGCCACCACATCTGGCTGAATCTGTCTTTACAGCCTTCTCTTGTGGAATTCCTCCTCCAAATCCTTGCTCTACCTTCTGAGTTCCTTTCTTTGCTTTCTATTCCAGCTTATCACTGCATTTCTTACTTAGCTATGACCAAATTAGTGCTGAGCCCTTCTGCTAAAATGTTCTGCTCAGCAGTGATGTTTTAAACCTCTCCACAGTCTCTTTTCTCCAGTTGCTCCTTTCCTGGACAATCCTTGCCTCCTCCTGGAAGACTCCTCCTGAATCTTTCTGAGGGTCACTAGTTCCAAGTTTCCCAGTTGTAGAGGGGTGTAGTGGTGAATGCTGGTAATCCCAGTGACGGGAAGGCTGAGGCAGGAGGATCCCACATCCAGCACAGCCTTGGTGACTGAACTGTCTGAAACTTTGTTTAAAAGGGCTGGGGTGTGGCTGGGCATTAGAGCATCCCCAGGCTCTATCTCCAGTACAGAAAACAAAATAAGTAGTTTCCCAGTTGTCTGCTCTCTGTGGATTATCTGGGCTTTCTCTGTGGTCAGCTGACCTCCCTGCAACAGACGCTCTGATGAAGGCCCGAGTTCTCCTGGAACATTCTCCATCCTCCTTGTTGGGCCGCCCAGGGCCAACTCAGCAGAAGCAGGGGTTTCCAATCCAGCGCAGTCCAAGAAAAACACTGGCCCTTGACCAGCTCTGGGGAGACCACAGGTGCCCTTGGATGATCCTTCCTGAGGAGTGTCCCTGCAACCTTGGAGAATGGTGCCACTCTGGGTCCCACTAACAATGGGATTCCCCGAGGGGCTTGGGCCACAGGCAGAGACTGAGTAACCAAGGTTCCCACCTGGGCATCTCATGCCTCCCTGACCACGCCTCAGTACAGCCCTGGTGACCAGAAGTTGTATCTTCCCTTGTGGCACTCCTTCAGGCCAGCAGTCTCAGGTCCACTCTGGGAGAATTCAGCCCTGTCCACTGGCCTCTGCTGGGGAACACATCTGGAGAGAGGCTCACGCTTGTGTCCTCGCCCAGGAGCACACTGACTCTTCTGAGTTCTGTGGGACCCGGTGGGGACTCTCTGACCCAGGGGGTGTTGGTGCTGATGCCTGGCTGGCTGTCCATTCACAAGTGGGACTGGTACACTGCCCCCACTCCCACAGGAAGCAGAGGCCCTGGAGGCCCGGGCAGTTGTGTGAGGCCACTGCAGGCAGCAGGCAGAGAAGGAGCTGGAGCCCTGTGCATGGTGGCAGCCCAGCTCTGTGGTTGCAAAGGAGCAGCATCTTTAGCAGGAGGCGCCACACTGCTGACTCCAGATTAGCCTGCCAGGAGGAGGTGCTAGTGGGCTTCTTGGGGGTCTCCTGGCTGAGGGCCATGTCCTTGTTCCTGGGGGAGTTTGTGGGTGGGGGAAAGAGGGCATCAGAGGAGACAGCCAGCGCTGGTGGGCTGCAGAAAGAAAGGGGGTGTTGGGGTTCACTGGCTGCAGCACCACATCAAGACGTGTGCGGGCTGACCAACTCCTGTAGGAGCCGAAGGCACTGTGGTCCCCAAGGATCCCTTGGTCCCAGGGAGCTCATCTGGGTGAAGGTGGTGGCTAGGGCTTCCAGCCTGCTGCCTCTCCCGCAGGGGGCGCCGGCAGGATCTGGAGCGGAGCTGCAGGGAGCAGAGGGGGCGCCAGGTTGCAGAAGAGGCCATGGGCGAGAGGAGCTGCCCACTTCTGCCGCCGCTGCTGCTGCTGGCGCTGCTGTGGCCCCCAGGACTGGAGAAGCAGGGTGAATTCGGGGGCGCTGCTGGCAGGGCGGGGCGACGGGGGCCGCGGGCGTCGTGGAGGTCAGGGGCGCTCACCTCCTGGCCTCCACGCAGACTCGCAGGAAGAGAACACGCAGTCAGGTAAGGCGCCCCCGAAGAGCCCCCTGCGCGGTGCGCCGGCGTCGGGTGCAGAAGAAGGTGCGAGGACGCCTCATCTCTCCCTCTCCTCCGCCTCAGGTCCCATGAACACCCTGCTGCTCTCAAGTAACGACCGGGCCCTGGGGAGGGGGTGGGCGCGTCCCCAGAGGCCCCTGGCCCAGCGGTGGGTCTGCCCAGCGAGCTCATCGCGTGTCTGCCCCAGGGCCCTGCGGTCGCCGGGAGGTCCAGCCTCTGATCGTGGGCGGAGTGGAGTCCTCGCGCGGGCGCTGGCCGTGGCAGGCCCTGGTGCGTGTGCGCAATGTCAAGATGTGCGGAGGGAGCCTGCTTAGCCGCCGCTGGGTGCTGTCGGCCGCGCACTGCTTCAGGAGGTGAATCTGGGCATCCACAGGGACGGCGACCTCCCTTCTTGCACTGGGGCGCTTTTGTATGTTGATAGGGCTTCGTGTTTTCCTTTGCTTCAAGCAGGGCTGCAACTGGCAACAAACAAATGACTTTATAAAGGACTTTCCCTGGCATCCCTGGAGATGACACTGTTCAAATTCTAGCATCACTTTTTACCAAAACATTATTGTGCGTTTTTCTTGTAATTTTCTCTTCTCTTTCTAACCAAATGGAACCACCATAGTTTCACCTCCCAATGGAGTGGGAGGCTTGAGTTGAGGAGGGAGCTATGCTGGTCACCCAGTTGGCCAGTGGAGCTCACCCCACCCAGCTGTTTGACTTCCAGTCGGAGGACCAGCACTGGCCTCACATCTGCTTTGTTCTTTCTGAGTGGCACATGTATACTCCTACAAGACTGTGCTCTGTCCTTAGGACAGCCCTGGGAGGTGACAAGACACTAGGGGGAGCCACACTCCTGCTCCTGCCACCTCAGAACTCTGGTTGTGGCCTGTCTTGGTCTGAAATTTCTACATGGGTCCCTTGAACCCATAAGAAGGACTTGCCATGGACACCAATGGTGTCCATAATGAGCAAGTAGTAGCAGCCCCACAGCATCACCCCAGCCCAGGTGTGCTCATATGGCCAGGCTCCCTTCCCTGGGCCCTGGAGGTTCTCTCTTCTCCCCTGCCAGGTTCTCTCATGCTTCCAGGTGGATAGTCCAGCTTGGTGAGCTGACTCTCTTTTCTTTCTGGAGCCTGCAGGCTCACGGAAACCGGTACAGAGTGAAGTGTCATGGTTTCTTTTCTTTTCCTTTTTAGTTCAGAGTGAAGGACATCATTGTGAACCCCCAGGATGGAGGAAAGTTCCATGACATCGCCCTGCTGAGGCTGGCCTCCTTGGTCACCTACAGCAAGTACATCCAGCCCGTCTGTGTCCTGTCTTCTACCTTCATGTTCCTGCACTGGTCCGACTGCTGGGTGACTGGTTGGGGAGTCATCCATGAGAATATGGGTAAGGTTGGGGACAGAGGGCTGGGCTGGGCACTATCCTCATTCCATTTAGTCACCAGGCCCAGTTGTCTCTCCTGGACCTGGCACCCGCTCAGCATTCTCTCCTCAGGGGCTGCCCTCCTCTTGCTCCCACTGCAAGGGCAGGAAGACAGGCTCTGTCCTCTTCCCTTGCAGACACTGTGTGGGCCAGAAAGCAGGGTTGCAAGGGGCGCCGCTTGGCATGTGCCTTTGCTAGCCAGCAGGGGTGGCAGGCTCAGGACAGCCTCCTGCCAAGGGCCTCGGCTGTTAACTTCCTTCCACTGTGATTTAGTTCACACACCCAAACTTATAGCCAGCAGTGGCAAAGCAGGCTGTTCAGAGATCTGTGGGGCGTTCCCAAAGCTGTGGGGCCATCCTGGCACCATCTACCTCAGAACAGCTCCATCTCCCAGGAGTCCCCGCCCTCCTTGGTCATTCCTCTC